TTTTTTTTTTCTTCCCTCTTTGCGGTACACGGGCCTCTCTCTGTTGTGGCCTCTCCCGTTGCGGAGCACAGGCTCCAGGTGCACAGGCTCAGAGGCCATGGCTCACGGGCCCAGCCGCTCCGCGACATGTGGGATCTTCCCGGACTGGGGCACGAACCCGTGTCCCCTGCATCGGCAGGCGGACTGTCAACCACTGCGCCACCAGGGAAGCCCCTCAACTTGGTTTTATATGGACAATATCTGTTACAAGAAAGAAAAGAAATACATATAGAGTATTTACATCTTTGTATATTAGCTAGATATGAACAGGTGGGCAGGAGGCAGGGAGGAAGGAAAGGGAGAGAAAAACAACAATCTAAAATGGCCACATGTTCACATAATTATAAATTATGTAGTACTATAGGACGTAGTACTACATAACTCACCCAGCAAGCTGGGTCAGTCAGCCCAGCTTGCTGTCCCTATGCAAGCTGGGCTGACTCACCCATCATCACACCCCTGCTGGTTTCCAATGCTACTGGCATCCCATGTAATCCCCTAGGACTCCAACCCTTCCCTTATTCTACCTGAGCCTAATCGCTGGCTTCTCTATCTCCTGATATGAGGTTCATTGTATCAGCTCTGCTTCCCTCCTCTGATGCCATCCCTGCCTCTCTCCAGCCTTTCGACCACAGGTCTCCTGCCAGGTTTCAGGTGTCCCTCATCCTTTGGCCCTGGCTCTGTCAAAGACAAGAATGAGCATTTCTTGTTTGTTTCCTGGTCTCACTAAACCCCAAGCCTGCTCTACTTCTTTGCTGGTTGGTACTCAGCCTGTCTACTCAAGGCAATTTCTAAATTATCCAGTGGTACTTCTGATGCTGCTTGAAATAAGAAGATAGCAAGACTCTGAGGGTTTGTTTTTTTTTTAGGATAGGATAAAAAGAATGATAAAGCTGAACCCAGTCCTTGTAAGCCAGATCACTGTGCCCAACAGTATCAGGAGAGTGGCAGGCATTCTGGAAGCTGCCATGGAGACCAGTCTTGTTTTCTGTTTTCTTCTGCAAGCACCAACATACTTCAGAATAACATATAGCTTTTAAATTTCCATCTTTCCTGGAGGCAGGTTAAATTTTGCATGGCAGTTGCCAGCTCTTTACCAAACCCCTGGTTCCCCTTCTTTCTGGTCACACAGTTAGACTACCTTTCCATGAGACTAGTTCTAGCCACTAAAACGTGGGCAGAGGTCATGTGTGTCACCTCTTGGCCAAGACTCTTAAGAAGCAGGTGTGCCTCTTCCACACTCTCCCCTTTCTGCTTGCTGGGTGTAAGTGGTAAAGGGGCCCATCCAATGGAGGAAACATAAATGGAAGTTGAGGTTCTCTGAAATTCTATGTGGAAGAAAATTGCCCACCAATTAGGAAGACTCCCATTGGCCTGCCATGTGAACAGAAACCTCTGCTGTGTTTGACCCATTAGACATTTGGTGGTCTTTTTGGTACAGGTGCCAGGCCTACACTACTTAATGCAACAAATATTTTATGTTTTAGAGCATTACATCACATGACTGTCAAAATTCTGGGCCTTCATTCTGGAAAATATAAGAGGGACTAGTGGAAAGGGAAGGGAAGCAAGAAGAAATTATAATGTGAATAACTACAAATATTTACTGCATATGTAACCATGTGTCAAACCTTGTTTTAGATACATTACACATACTGTCTCATTTAATTTCATTTATTCCTCATAACAACTTTAGAAAATAGTACTATTATTATCCTCACTATCATTATTCCTCAGATGTGGAAACTGAGGCAGAGGTGTAGTACTCAGGAAGCCATGATTCAAATCTGTTGACTCCATAGCCCAGGCTCTGGTTGAGTATCCACTACTGTGTACTAGGCACTTTGTACAATTTTATCTTTACAACACCTTGTAAAATAGGCTTTATTATCCCCATTTTAAAGATGAGTACGTTTTAAGGTTCGACAAAGATAAATAAAGTGTCTAAGCTTACACAACTAGACAGATTCAGATTCAGGCCGAGGTCAGAGTGGCTCTCAAGCTCATTCTCTTTCCATCAGATCATTAAGATCAGAATCTAGATCGAGGGGAGAGGTCATTGGGACTAAGTTTACCTCCATTTCTGGGCCCCAGGATTCTCAGAAGTTGATCTGTTAGCTCTGTGACCATGGAATTGTCAGCTTTGGAGACACTGGGATTTCTAGCAGCACGGCTCCTGAGTAGAAATGAAGAGGGGGGTGGGGGGAGAAGCCATTTCTGTCTGTCCTCATACTTGGCTTTTTAACCTGGATGACCCATCCTCTCTTTTCATCTCTCTTGGCCCTTCAAGGGCTAGTTGACACATCAAGCAATCCCTCAAGACCAAGCCCCACCCCTTCTCCCTCCTGACTTAATCTGAGGATTACTGGCATATCTAGGGAAAATGGTCAGTGCTGGAGGCTCACGTGGGACAAGATGGTGGCATCATGTAACCTCCTGACCTATGCTATGAACCCAAATGGCCAAGGCCACCTTGGGACAAAAGAGCCACAGTCTTGTATTCATCCATACAATCAGTAGACATGTGTGGTTGAGAAAAAGCACTGAGGCCCCTGGAGAAGCTGGAGCTCCTCTGCAGCATGGAGCAGCTGGGCCACAGTGGGGACTGCAGAGCAATGGCAAGTCTTGTCTAAATACCTGCCCAATCACGTCACCCTGCTCTTTCAGTTGCCCTTAGGATTAAGACTACTCATTACTGTGGCCTACAGGACCCTACGGGGCTCTTGCCTACCCCGTAACCCCATTCATTTCACCGTGCCACCCCTCCATACGCTCTGAAACTCAAAAAGTGATTATTTTATGTCTAACCCCATGAGGACAGAATTCACATCTTTTTACTCATTGTTTTATGATGCACTTAGCCTATTTCCCTGACATAGGTGGTGCTCAGTCAGTATTGGTTGGTTCGTTGGCTGGTCAGTCGGTTGGTTGGCTGAATGAATAACTGACTGAAAAGTCAAGATTCTAGCAACGAAGTTAGGTCAGTGCTAGAGCAGATCACTTCTGTGATTGCAGCCCGAGCCCTTATTTTCCCCGTGGTTGGGATGGCATAGAGAGACGGGGTACAAGTCAGGCCCTGATGTTAAAGGTTAACAACAAGGGCATCCATCAAAGTCTCACCAACAGACGTACCAATTAAAGCAAGTTTCACTGATTCAAATGGATTTTAGAAAGGGGTGTGAAATAAATTCAACAAATGAACATAAGAAATGAAATTTCACTAAATATGTAGCCTTAAAATGACTCAGGAACACCACCAATTCGATTTTTCAGTTCCCTCCCTTTTGCAGTGATGGTACAAGCCAGGGTCAGGCAAACGAGGTAGGCATCCTAAGGGAAATAATTTTGCCCTGTTGCCAACAGGATGCCAGGATGTTTAGAGAGGTTTTGTGAGGCAGCCTTGGTCAAGGCTAACTGCCAAGTAGCATCGGGCCACAACCCTCGGTGGAGGAAAGGTTATCTCATTTCTGATAGGACTGGATACGTGGCAGTTTTCATTTTGGTTCTTTCCTTATTATGGTAGATTTCCCACCATAGTTTCACTCAGGAGGGACTTTGAACATGGCGTAACCTGGAGGGCATAGGAAGGGCAGAGCTGGTAAGGATAAATTAAGTGCAGCCCAAGAGGCTCCTATGTAAATAAGGAAATAGTTCCCAGATAACAAAGGAAGAAAGCTGGCACAGAATTTAACGAGGTAGTGATAATGAACTCACAGCACATGTGAACTGAGCTTGGTGACCAGCCGGTGGTCAATTATGGGTTCATTGCTAAAGCAAACGCATAAATACAAAACTATCTTTTAACTGTAGAATTGAAAGATTAAGTACGAAAGATGCTGTTTACAAGGAAGCAGGTTTTTGCCGTATTTTCCTGTGCTTGTTCAGTATCAGCAGTATTAACTGGCCTTTGCTTGGATCCTCAGCCTGAAAGGTGAACAGCTTATGTAAAAGGCCTGCAGTGGAAGCCCTAGACTCTGCATGATAGATTGGAAGATCTATCACAGATTCAATGGGTTTCGCCCTTGACAAAGCTCACTCTTAACACAGGTAGGTGGTTTAATTTCAACACAGCATTTTCACATTTATTATCTTCAGCCCCTACTGTCTCCTGCTTACTAAGAAATTCTGCTATCTGAAAAAGTTTATTTTGAATGCTTCCACTTTTTTAAAGCCAATATCGATTAGCCAGGAGGGAATTATTTTTGAAGCTTAACTATAGAAGTTTATTTGGGGAGAAACAAATAGAATGAGAGGGAGCCAGTAACAAAATAAAAAATAAATAAACCATATTAGAAGTAGAAGAGGGAATTGTTTGAAATTACACAGCAGGCTGTAGATGCCAAATTTTGTCTGTTGAGACAGGGGAGACCCTGGGAGTCCCATCTTGATAGATAGGCTTGTCACGGCTGAGACAGAAATCAAGCAGAATGGGTGGTTGTGAACTCAGGTAGCACAGAGTCAGGGTTCTCACCTGGATGCTCAGGAGAATCATGTGGGGGGCTTTTAAACCCACAGCACTCAAGCTCTACCCCCAGAGATTCAGATTTCCTTCATCTTGGGTAGGGCAGCAGCATTATTCAAAAGCTCCCCGGGTGAGTCCATTGTGAGCTAAAACTCGGAACTTGGGAAGCCCTGGGCAAAGAACGGAGGCTACAGGTGAGGAAGGTAAGGGAGACAGAGCACATGTGGTGGGGCAAAGACTCTCCGTTCAGCTCAGAAACCGGCGGAACAGTAAACCACTGTAACTGTTCAATTTTTCTCCAAGCTACTTATGTAATGATGAGCGTTTGTGAAGCCGTTGGACTTACACCATGTTTCCACTTTCGGATGATGCCTCTAAAAACTACTAAGCTTACATTAAGTCCATTTCATAATAGTCGTATTTTGTATTATCCACAACCTCTTCTCCCCAACGCCCTAGTGAATTGAGAGGCGACCCTGGCACACTCCTGTTCACTTACTTTGATTCCTTGTAATCCATAGCCGGTGGGGGCCAGGAGGGCCAGGCAAGCCTTTCTGCCCAGTATCACCCTGTTAGAAGACAGAGAGAAATCGTAGAGAAGGTTAAGGAGATTTAGAAAGAAACAACAGACTACTGCTCTCAGCTACATTCTCACTTCAGTCTGATGAAGACCTACATCCACGCTGCCCATATTGATATAAAGTAGTGTTTTCACAAAAATTTTAAGCCACAGAATCCTTTGCAAAAATTTTACGTGTAATCCAGCTGTAAAGAGATAAGGCAGAGCTGCTTGGCATAAGCAGAAGTGTTGGACCCGTAGCCTCGTCTGCTTGGGCTCCTCCAAGCTGCTCTACCATCAACCCCTAGAACACCAGGGGTTCGAATACCACTCATACATAATTCTATGTAGACTTCACTGTGTTGCTGCATTTCAATATGACGTATTAATTCACAGGGGTTGCAGTTAAAGATTCAGCAGGTACTGATGTGGATCAGAGTTGAATTTTTAAGAAAAGATGTAAATGAAGCAAAATGTGCGTCATTTCCCAGTATATGTTCCTTACAGCTTAAGTTGACCCTATGTTTCTTGAGGAAAGACTTCTGTGGTCAAATAAGATTGGAAAATGTTCTACACCACGGTATGAATATATTAAAGCCTCAAGAAGTCCCACAATAGAAAGATTAGTTTAACTTTGTTTATCCCAGAAGTTCCCAAATTAACATTTTGAGGAAACAAACTTTGAGAAATCCTGAGTTAATAAAAGTTACTGTATAAGTCAGTCTTTTTCTTCCAATATGGGAAAAAGCTTTATTTTTTTCTGATTGTAAGAGGAACTCATTGGAAAAAAAAAAAGTAGGAAAAGAAATAAAAATGACAATGAAGAAAAAAATTAGACCCATCATTGCATCACCCAGTGATAACAACTACTAACATCTTGGAGGGATCTTTATCCATATAAAGGGATCTGTAAGGTTAAGAAATAGCCCACTGTCAAAATGGAGTTGATGGACAAAAATGGATAAACTAAGAACCTTGGTAATTCTAGGATCCTCAGTCACATCTTTGACTCATAAAGCCCTTTCCTCTCTGATAATAGGATTCTAATTCACTTCTGTGCATTTTGGATGTAAATATACGTGTTTGACATTTGAATTTGTGACGGGTGGCTCGCTGAAACCTGTTTGCCCTATGAACATGCCTGATACTTTACCTCCCTTTTTGAATAAATGAAAAGAATATTTGTTAAGCAAATGAATGAACAATTGAAACAGGGCTCGTGAACCTCAGCATAATTAACATTTTGAGCTGGATAAGTCTTCATCACGGGAGGCTGTCCTGTGCATTGTAGGATGTTGTTTAGCAGCATCCTTGGCGTCTACCAACTAGATGCCAGTAGCACTCCTTCCCCAGTGTGACGTAACAACCCAAAATGACACTGCCAAATGTCCCCCTGGGGTGGAGAGGGGAGGACAAAATCTCCCTCATTGAGAAACACTGGATTAAGAGAATAAAAGGATAAATAATCACCAAATTGGAGGCGACAAAAGGAAGAGAAATAGAAGCAAGAGAACCAAAGGAAGTTCTTCTCACCTTCCATGGGGACAATAAATTAGGCCCTTGCACTGGGGACAGAGTGGACTACGTGCACAGCACACAATAGATCCATCAGCTGGTGTCCTGATAAAAGGCAACCTGAGGCACCTCTGGCCAAAGTAAACACGTGCTTCTTAATGATGGCACAGCCTCTAAGGAACCTGGCAATATTTTGAGCACTTTGCAATCACTTTTTACAAAGACATTAACTTTCTAATTTCTTTGGGGGAAGCGAATGGCTTTATAAACCTAAATGTTCTATTTTACTGAAAGTTCACATGATATGAGAAAATAAGACTCTTCATCAACAATCAAGAGAAAACTAAGTCAGCATCAGAATGAGCACTTCCTATGCATCGTCATGTGGTACCTGACCCTCACCCAGAGCACAGACCTGAGGACTCACCTTTGGCCCTTGGGTTTCTATGCCCCGAGGCCCAGGGGGGCCTGGAGGGCCTCTGACACCAGGCTCTCCCTGAAAAGACACAATGAATGACGTTATTGATTAAAAGAAACTTTACGTTGTATAATATTTCATATAAAATTTCATATTAAAATATTTCATATGAATTTTCATATTCAGAAATATATTTTAAAATCCCAAACCCTTGAATTTGACTAAGATGATAATCGAGCCCTTTTCTTCCATATCACTTTTCTATACTTGGTCAAGGGAGTGTTATCCCTCTTCGTTTTCATTTCTTATTGCCATTTATCAAGCCAACCGATATGGGTTCGTTTCAGAGCAATAAAGTCAATTAAATTCTTGGCAACCTTAATATATACTTTTTGGAACTCCCTTCTCAGGAATTTGGAAAAGTAATTACTGCCATTGTGAAGAGAGGGAGAAAAAAGAGACAAGAATAAAAAACAAGGGTTAAAAGATATAACCCTCTCCTGAACTGGTTGCTCTCATGTCTTTATGCAACTTGGGTTGGGGATTGGCTGTAGGATACTCCTGCCCCTAGAGTGGTTATGACTGCAGGGTGGGTTCTCTAAAGGCTTTTAGATCCGCCAATGCAAGGCAGTTTCATAATAGGCAACTATCACCAGAAAGTTGGTGGGGCCTGATTGGCGTGGGTCAGGCCCTGTGGTTAGACCTATTTGAGACGGGAATGATGGGAAGAAGCAGAGAAATGAAAATCTCTTTATTAACCACCTTCTGTGTCCCCGACACTGTGCTCTGCGTGTTCATATATGAGACTTGATATAATTTAGTATTCACAAGAATCCTGTATGACGATGACTAACTTACCTAACTTCTCTGAACCTCTGTAAATTCATCAGATACACAGAAAATCATATCTACCTTTCATGGAGATGACAGTGAAGGCAGACAAAGAATGCCATGCTTCTGCCGCCATGTCTAGCACAGAGCAGGCGCTTAGTAAGTCTTAACTCCCCACCCCACCTGGTTTTTTACAGAGGGGACGAAAGTTTGCCCAAAGCTGCACAGCTATTGAGAGGCACGGCTAGGAGGATGTGGAGAAATAGGAACCCTTGTGTGTTGCTAGTACAGCCACTTTGGAAAACAGTTTAGCAGTTTCTTAAAAAGTTCAACATAATTTTACCATTTGATCAAGTAATTTCACTCCTAGGTATACACCCAAGGAAAATGAAAACATATGTCAACACAAAGACTTACATATGAATGCTCTTCACAGAATTATTCATAATAGCACAAAACTGGGAACAACCAAAATGTCCATCAACTGCTAAATGGATAGACAAAATGTGGTATATTCAGCAATAAAAAGGAGTGAACCATAGCTATATGCTACAACATGGATGAACCTCAAAAACTATTCTTAATGAAATAAATCAAATATTTGAGAACACATATTGTTTGAGTCCACGTACATGAAATGTCCAGAAAAGGCAAATCGATAGAAAGTAAGTCCGTGGTTGCCTGGGGCCAGGAATAGGAACTAAGAAGGGGGATTAACTGTAAATGGGCACGAGGGATCTTGTTGGGGGGATGAAAATGTCCTAAAACTGATTTGTGGTGATGGCTGTACAACGTGGTAAATGTACTAAAAAAAATTGTTGAATTCTACACTTAAAATAGGTGAATTCTATGATAAGTAAAATATGCCTCAATAAAGTTATAAAGGAAAAAAAAGGCCAGAATCAGCTCTTAGGCCTAGGTTCTGTTTTGTCCATGTCCTGTTAGGAGCTAAGTAGCTTATATCAATAGCTTTCAACAGTGCAAAAATCATAAATGATAAGAAATGATTAAATTGTTTATGTAGAAAAAATCCCATCTTTTATTTAGCTTTGCTTTCTACTTCCAAACCCTAAAATACTTCTAGAGAAAACAAGGCCTTTAAAAATGGGGAAACCTTTAAACTTTATTACTCTGTTAATTATTTTAATCTCTACTTCATAATTATGTGTTCCCTTTTGCTTGCAGGCCACTGTTATGATTCTGGTTTTCTCTATCCATCTCTTCCACTTAATACTTAGCTGCTTTTGAGACCACAGGTACTAATTATCTCTTTTTTTTTTTTTTACATTTTTATTGGAGTATAACTGCTTTACAATGGTGTGTTAGTTTCTGCTTTATAACAAAGTGAATCAGTTATACATATACATATGTCCCCATATCTCTTCCCTCTTGCATCTCTCTCCCTCCCGCCCTCCCTATCCCACCCCTCTAGGTGGTCACAAAGCACCAAGTTGATCTCCCTGTGCTATGCGGCTGCTTCCCACTAGCTATCTATTTTACGTTTGGTAGTGTATATATGTCCATGCCACTCTCTCACTTTGTCACAGCTTACCCTTCCCCCTCCTCATATCCTCAAGTCCATTCTCTAGTAGGTCTGTGTCTTTATTCCTGTCTTACCCCTAGGTTCTTCATGACATTCTTTTTTTTTTTAGATTCCATATATATGTGTTAGCATACAGTATTTGTCTTTCTCTTTCTGACTTACTTTACTCTGTATGACAGACTCTAGGTCCATCCACCTCACTAAAAATAAATCAATTTCGTTTTTTTTATGGCTGAGTAATATTCCATTGTATATATGTGCCACATCTTCTTTATCCATTCATCAGATGATGGACACTTAGGTTGTTTCCATCTTCTGGTTATTGTAAATAGAGCTGCAATGAATATTTTGGTACATGACTCTTTTTGAATTACGGTTTTCTCAGGGTATATGCCCAGTAGTGGGATTGCTGGGTCATATGGTAGTTCTATTTGTAGGTTTTTAAGGAAACTCCATGCTGGAGTGTCCATAGTGGCTGTACCAATTCACATTCCCACCAGCAGTGCAAGAGTGTTTCCTTTTCTCCACACCCTCTCCAGCATTTATTGTTTCTAGATTTTTTGATGATGGCCATTCTGACTGGTGTGAGATGATATCTCACTGTAGTTTTGATTTGCATTTCTCTAATGATTAATGATGTTGAGCATTCTTTCATGTGTTTGTTGGCACTCTGTATATCTTCTTTGGAGAAATGTCTATTTAGGTCTTCTGCCCATTTTTGGATTAGGTTGTTTGGTTTTTTGTTATTGAGCTGCATGAGCTGCTTGTAAATTTTAGAGATTAATTCTTTGTCAGTTGCTTCATTTGCAAATATTTTCTCCCATTCTGAAGGTTGTCTTTTGGTCTTGTTTATGGTTTTCTTTGCTGTGCAAAAGCTTTGAAGTTTCATTACATCCCATTTGTTTATTTTTGATTTTAATTCCATTTCTCTAGGAGGTGGGTCAGAAAGGATCTTGCTGTGATTTATGTCATAGAGTGTTCTGCCTATGTTTTCCTCTAAGAGTTTGATAGTTTCTGGCCTTACATTTAGGTCTTCAATCCATTTTGAGCTTATTTCTGTGTATGGTGTTAGGGAGTATTCTAATCTCATACTTCTACATGTACCTGTCCAGTTTTCCCAGCACCACTTACTGAAGAGGCTGTCCTTTCTCCACTGTACATTCCTGCCTCCTTTATCAAAGATAAGGTGACCATATGTGTGTGGGTTTATCTCTGGGCTTTCTATCCTGTTCCATTGATCTATCTTTCTGTTTTTGTGCCAGTACCATACTGTCTTGATTACTGTAGCTTTGTAGTATAGTCTGAAGTCAGGGAGCCTTATTCCTCCAGCTCCGTTTTTTGTTCTCAAGATTGCTTTGGCTATTCAGGGTCTTTTGTGTTTCCATACAAATTGTGAAATTTTTTGTTCTAGTTCTGTGAAAAATGCCAGTGGTAGTTTGATAGGGATTGCATTGAATCTGTAGATTGCTTTGGGTAGTAATTTTCACAATGTTGGTTCTTCCTATCCAAGAACATGGTATATCTCTCCATCTATTTGTATCATCTTTAATTTCTTTCATCAGTGTCTTTTAATTTTCTGCATACAGGTCTTTTGTCTCCTTAGGTAGGTTTATTCCTAGATATTTTATTCTTTTTGTTGCAGTGGTAAATGGGAGTGTTTTCTTGATTTCACTTTCACATTTTTCGTCATTAGTGTATAGGACGCCAGAGATTTCTGTGCATTAATTTTGTATCCTGCTACTTTACCAAATTCATTGATTAGCTCTAGTAGTTTTCTGAGAGCATCTTTAGGATTCTCTATGTATACTATCAGGTCATCTGCAAACAGTGACAGCTTTACTTCTTCTTTTCCGATTTGGATTCCTTTTATTTCCTTTTCTTCTCTGATTGCTGTGGCTAAAACTTCCAAAACTATGTTGAATAAGAGTGGTGAGAGTGGGCAACCTTGTCTTGTTCCTGATCTTAGTGGAAATGCTTTCAGTTTTTCACTATTGAGGACGATGTTGGCTGTGGGTTTGTCATATATAGCCTTCATTATGTTGAGGAAAGTTCCCTCTATGCCTACTTTCTGCAGGGTTTATATCATAAATGGGTGCAGAATTTTTGTTTTTTTTTTTTGGGGTGCTGAATTTTGTCGAAAGCTTTCTCTGCATCTATTGAGATGACCATATGGTTTTTCTCCTTCAGTTTGTTAATATGGTGTATCACATTGATTGATTTGCGTATATTGAAGAATCCTTGCATTCCTGGAATAAACCCCACCTGATCATGGTGTATGATCCTCTTAATGTGCTGTTGGATTCTGTTTGCTAGTATTTTGTTGAGGATTTTTGCATCTATGTTCATCAGTGATATTGGCCTGTAGTTTTCTTTCTTTTTGACATCCTTGTCTGGTTTTGGTATCAGGGTGATTGTGGCCTCATAGAATGAGTTTGAGAGTGGTCCTCCCTCTGCTATATTTTGGAAGAGTTTGCTCTTCTCTAGCTGTTCTCTAAATGTTTGATAGAATTCGCCTGTGAAGCCATCTGGTCCTGGGCTTTTGTTTGTTGGAAGATTTTTTATTTTATTATTATTATTATTTTTGGTGGTACGCGGGCCTCTCACTGTTGTGGCCTCTCCCATTGCGGAGCACAGGGGCCGGACGTGCAGGCTCAGCGGCCATGGCTCACGGGCCCAGCTGCTCTGCGGCACGTGGGATCTTCCC